ACTACCAAGAAATATAAAGCAAGCTAATCCGATTTCCAAAATTGACTAGTTTACCATCAGTCACAACACCAAACAAGAGAATCCCACGCCCCAATATAGCAAATCCGAAGCACAAATTCACATTCCAAAATTGATCAGTAACAATATCAAACAGAGAATCCCACGTCTCTCAATATTGCAAATCAGAATCAGAAATTCACATCAATATGCAAATCTCCAAATCAAAACGAAGACATGAAGAAATCGACCTACCTGGTAACTCCCAGGGTTCGTGCTGGTAGAATTCGATTTCTGCAATCGCGTTTGGATATGGTTTGTTCAAGATCTTCCTCCTCAGATAATAGAATAGCAAATCTTCATCACTCGGTTGAAACAGAAAACCTACAGGAAGGGCTATCTTGACATAGAAGTCACCGGCACAGTCGTCGCTGAGGAAATCTTCGGCGCGGGTGAAGACTCGGAAGCCATAGATTCAGCTCAAAATGCCGTTCTTGTGTTTTAGACTTTCTGATTCTCTATCTCTTCCAAAACTTCACAAGACGAAAACGAAACTGTATTGCGATTATTATGGAGAAGAAATTAAAGAGAGGAGCCAAGATAGAATGTTACCTTCGACTCCAAGAAATGGCTTCTTTGTTCCCATTTTCTGTTTTCTTTCCGGAAACTGCTTTCAATTTCACCATATTTCCACCATATTTCCTAAATTCTTGTCCACCAAATTATGGTCAGAGACGGTGGTGGACAAAAACGATTATGGTGGACAAAAACAGAAACAAAGCAAAGCTGATGCACGAGCATAATTGTCTTTATGTCGCTGCGAACAGTGCAATTGTGGTAGATTTTACAAAGAATTTCCAATAATGGTAGATTTCACAAGAAATTTTGAGAGAAATGGTAGATTTGATAAAAATCCTATGTTATTTGTCTTGCACCCAAAATGATAAAAATCCATATATTCATTAGTGTGTTTCTTTCTCTTGTAAACTTTTGTTTCCTGAGATTTTACTTTGAAATTTGATGTTCATGTAGCTTTTGGTTGTTCATATATTTGTTAGAATTGGTCGAGACTGGAAGTCGAATTTGCATGAGTTAGCAATGAGAAGTGTCCCTTCGACGACAAGGCGAATCTTGTTGACAAGTATAATCATGAACTTGTGCTATAATCCTTCAAGGTATTTATCAGGTCTGCACCTTGTTCAGCTATTTAATTTGTTCTTTTTCTTTCTAAAGTTTTGTTTCAATAGTTTGATCGATAAAAGTCTGTATGGAAAGCTTATTTAATATGATTTATTGTGTATTAAATAAACATTTTAAATTATATATGTTTTAAAAATAGTTTTACTTATGTGGACACTTATTTTGTTGTATAATAAACTTCATTTTAAACAATCTTTGAGTAAGTTAAGAAACTTCATTTTGTTGTATCAGCCGAGAAGTCTTTGTCAATCACTCGATGTGAGGACACTTTGATTAGACAATCTATGCTTTAAAACAAAATCATGTATTTCTTTTTGTCACATGTTCATTATACTCATTTGTCAAAGAGTAACATAAGGCTAGATTCTATACTTCCATACAATCATAAACTAGATTCTATCACAACAAACCAAAACCAGTACTGATAGCTCTTTCTGTGACGTACATAACCTGATATTCCATCTTGTCAAAACTCGTATACTGTGGAAGATACAGTTCTAAAAGGCAAGTCGCAGACTCGGGGAAAGCGTTATCGTCATCTTTGTACACTCTGCTGATTCGAAGTCTACTTGGGAAACCCTTGAAGCCTTCCACAGGCAAATATTTCTTTGCTCTCCAAAAGAAGAGCAGATTCTGTCTCCTCTCTTGAGACATACCATTAACAATTTGAAAAAGACGAAAAAGAAATCAGTTATAGACAATTATTGAAAACTCTTGAACACAAGAAAATAAGGTATATATACCTTCCAAAACCATTTGATGAGAGTCTCGTTTTCTTCAAAATTATCATATTCCATGTATGCTTTCCATTCGTCAATGCATATATTCTCTTTGCCACGGAGTAGAGCGTCGAGGTCTTCAAACTTCATAGTGTTGAAGAAAACATTGTGTGGAACAGAGATCATATCCTCAAAACCTTGAACAAAATGTGCACTTGATCTTTTACAAGTGTCACATATAGATTTTCTATCCTCATATTGATGTACCTCTCTCTGTTTTCGAAAGTAACATCGAGATTGTTACCGTTTTCGCAAAGTAGAATCTCTGTTCTCTTCTTTAAATCATCCTCAATCGCTAAAGCAAAACTCAAGGCTATATCACCTTCTTCGAATTCCGATGAAGTCATTTTCAATAGATGCGAACAGCTAGTATACTTTGTCAAGTCACTGAGCTTTACGTCTTCCAAAGACACTCTTCTTCCAGCGAGCTGTAGATAGAAAAGAGGTTCTAGGAGAATACCTACTTGGACGTCATCTTTTATTGCCAAGGCTATGATTCTACCAGCAAAGCGGAAGTAATTGGTATGGAGTCAAGGTGTTAGGAATTTCTTCAAGAAACGCAGGTCCTTTTAGTTCAGTGGTTATTGAATCGACAATATCGAGGTTGATCCTTGTCGTAAATAGCAGTTCTGTGATGATATCTTCTCCGGTGTAAGTCATAATTAGAAACAGGATTGACTCGATCAGTCTCTACAAATTGGTAAGAAAGAGAACAAAAACCCTAAACCCTAAGAAGAGATCGCACGCGAATGGTCGAAACAATCTGATGAAAAACCGTCGAAGCTTCTTAGGGTTTGCTCGTGAATTTTTGATTCGCTCTGCAATGCAATCTCTAAGGCTCTGTTGTTTACCGTTGGCAATATAAAGGGTTCCGTTTTGTGGGACATCCTCTTTTCTTTAAAAATAATCTGTTATGGAGAATAATGAATTTGTTTGATTGGTCCACGTGGAAATATGTATGAGCATTTCCGTTTGTTTTTAAAAAAATTCTGCAATTCAGAAATCGAGAATTGATAATTGACTTACATTTATACAGTACATCAAATCTAAAAGCCAGCCAATATGATACATAAACCTCCTTACAATTAGGACTCTAATAGATCAAACTTTAAGCTGCAACATCAAAGGAATGGCATTAAGCATTCTGAACTTGCACCAACATAAGCGCAGGCGGCGGGGGGATCAGTATCACGGTTATGGGGTCGCAGAATCCGAGCCAACATCTTGACATTTCTCCAGATCATTGATTTGTAAGCTTTCCCCCTATGACTCTCCACGCATTGCTACTGAGGTGCTTCACTGCATCTTGAATCCAAAGATAGATACTTTTATTTGCTTCAGCTACCAGAGCGATGAACCCAGCCAGAAAACAATTGATCTCCGACTTGATCCCAGCCAGCTACTGAGGTGCTCTTAGTTTCGACTCGAGACCGGAAAACAAAATGTCGAAGAGAATGTTTTTCAACTCGTTGATCACATCTCCCTTATTGAGGAGAGGGGTTAGAGATTGAGAGTCAGAGAACACATATAGTTCTTGTTCAGATCCGCTTGCTCTAAATCAGAAAATAAAAACTCCAAATAAGAATATTTATTACATGCCTTGAGGTCAATATGAAGGAAAATAAAAGATGTCGGGAATGATCCGCTGTTCAGATCATTCTAAATCAGAAAATAAAAAACTCCTAATCAATAAACATGTCTTGAGGTCTTGTTCCATCATCTCTAAGTTAAACCATCACGAAATCTGAACCTGGCTCATCATCTTGTTTAGTTTGTCCTCTCAATCGGCTTCATCGCATGGTAGATCGTCATCATCCTCATCGATTTTCAGTTCATGATTTTCTGGCACGAATTTGTTGAAACCAGCTATCAACTTGTTATGTCCTTGAAGCAACTCTTTAACCCTGAAAAGCAAAGCATGTATGCCGATCCTACAAAAAAAAAAAGCAGAGTCCAAAGAGACCAGTCAATTACATCAAATTGCATTGAAGTTTCCTTAAGTTAAGAAGGTATGTATCCCCAAAAACCTGCGATTCTTGAAATCAATCAAGAGCTCACGGAATGTCGCATACTTTCCTACTTTGTTTGCAAACGCTCTCTGGACTTGGTTCAGATAGCGCTTTGCATCCTCTTGTGTCAAATTGAGGTTAGTTTCAGCAGCTCCTCTGACTCTGACTCCGACTCCAATTCTAAAGACGAGGAAAATCAAGAATTTCAAAACCCCTATTATACATACTAGCATTACAACATGCATGAAATCGAACTAACAGAGACATCATACATGAAATCGAAATCGACCACACGCAAATTAACTAAATAAGGTTTACCCTACATTCTTGACACCCAACTTTGCATAATTCATATATATAATTAATCTTGGATTATTGTTTCTCAAAACCAGAACTCACACTAGATGTGAATTTCACAATAAAAGAAGAACCTTATGATATCAGAACATCAAATCAAATAACTCTTGATTTGATCCTTTCCTGTTCTTCTAAAACAACTTATAATTTCAAAGAGGATCAAAGTATACGCATAACCAAAAAAGAAGCACCTCCCGGAACAACAACAAATGGTAGATAAGCCAAATCACGGAAATTTCAGTTCAACACAAGTATCAATCAATCTTGAGAAATCAGAATTTGGGATATAAACCCTATATAAGCTTCGATCGAAGAATAAAGGGTATACTAATTCAAAAAGAATATTCGACTTTCAAGGACATAATCACATGCATGCATATAATCAAATACTGGAATACAAGGAAGCGGTGAGAAATCAAATAAAACTTACGCTTTTATATGAGGAGTACGTGCCATCTACAACTACAAGCGGAGAAAATTCTCTGAGTTAGTATTAAACTCGATCACTGAACAACAGGGAAACAATAACCAAATAAAATAATTCAACCAAATTGTGGAGAATATTAATCAACTGAATCAGAATATGCACAAGAACAACCTTTTTCTTTTAACTTAAAATCACTGTAAAGTAAGCAAATCTCCTTTATATAAAAGGGACGTTTTCTAAGTCTTTAGAAGCCTCCACGTAGGAAAAAATAATCAGGAATGCAATCCACCAATAGAGATACAGATAACGGTAATCTCATCCTCTCTCTTTTATATAAAAAGAGACATTTTCTAGGCCTTTAGGAGTTTCCACGTAGACAAAAATAATCATGAATATAATCCACCAATAAAGATACAGATAACGGTCACGTCATCCTTTAATTCTCAATTTCGTTAAAAACGCCATTTACAATTATAGAATAGAATGAAACCTATAGAAGAAACCCAATTACGAAACCATAAATTTACCCACACCAAAGACCCAAAACCACATATATCGTATCATCTTCTCGCTTTCCTTCTTCTCCATTGTGACTTAAATTTCATGTAACATAATAACCGTAAACACACAACTTTGCCACCTCCGATTCCCAAATCAGCGATAATGGAAACCTCAAATGACGACTAAATCAGCGATAATGATATTCTTTTAATATTAAGAAACATTACCTCAATCACACCCGTCATTTTGAGTCGAGGCCGTAATGTCACATCAAATACATTGATAACAAAATAAGTATTATTCTCAAACAGTTGCACAATTTTGTTGTCAATATATTTTATAATCTAAAACTTCAATACCGTTCTTTCTTTTTCAGACAATAATGGTTGTGAATGCAGGTACCGAAAAATAATCTGACAGAAAAAGAAGATTTACGTCCAATAATATAATACTTGGAGATGTCATTATTGCATTTGATGACAAACCCATCAGTACGATGAACCTCTAACATAAAACAAGAAAATGATCTCAAGTTTCAATTTTTTTACCTTATGTGATTGTCATTTCTTATTTATGTTTTTTGAAAAATAACCTATTTATGTTTTTAAATTTGAAAATTAAACTATTTTTTTTAAACTAACTCTTTTTATATTTGAAAATATTATTTTATCCTAATTTCTAATTAAAACATATTATACTAAATCATAATTAAAATTCGTGATGCTACTAATAGTAATATTATTTTAATTTAATTTGAGATAAAATTGTTTACTGTGTCAGAATTATCTCATTTCAGAATGGATAAAAGAATTGTAATTCTTTACATTTCTTGTTTAGTAGACGTATTGCTACTGTAGATGTAGAGTCTTCTGTTGGAGTCTCTATATTTCTCAAACATGAAATAGCAGAAAATATTGGTATTACAATTTAACTATGATTTAACTGAATGATTCGATAAATTGACTTATGAACACAACTTCCACTGTTGTAACAAAAAAAGTCGGTATGATCTTCACTCGTGGTTCAACATAACATAATAATGACATGTACATAATCTTATATAACATCAAAATTTAAAACATATAAATAGTTTTAAAATAAAATCTAGATAACAGTTTAGGATAATATTATCATCATAGGAAATTAATTTTATTTTTCGAAAAGTATATAATTGTATTTTCAAAAAGTATATAGGAAGATATATGGAGCTTCTTATATCCATAAAAAAATAAAACTTTGGTTACCAATTATCCTCGTTAAAGAAACTAACCTCGGTAGGGAAAAGAGGCCCAGCAGGGAAAAGGCTAGATCAGATCATGATGATCCGTGTTCTCTACTAGAGCACCAAATCTATACGTAATACTAAAGAATGTTGTTTCTTTTCGACAAGTCTAATTCATGAATATTCTGAAATCTAACCTTGCTATTTCAAAATCCCTTCTGATAAGAGCTTTGTATCATCAGTAGCTACCAACTACCATGCTCTGATTGTGACAATTAAGCTTCTTATACAGAATTGAATCCATCAAAGTGTTGAAAACAAAGCTTTTTAGAAGAAAAACAAATAGTTGAACAAGGTGCAGACCTGATAAATACCTTGAGGGATAGCACAAATTCATGATTAAAGTTGTCAACAAGATTCGCCTTGTCGTCAAAGGGACTTCTCATAGCTAACTCATGCAAATTCGACTTCCAGCCTTCACCAATCCTAAACAAAATATAAACAACCAAAAGCTACATGAACATCAATTTTCAAAGTAAAATCTCATGAAACAAAAACTTACAACAGAAAGAAACACAGTAATGAATATATGTTTCAAGTTTCAAATAAATTTTTACATATTGGGACTAAATAACACTAGACAAAACAAGGTTTTGAACTTTTGATTTTTTCTTTTAAAGTAAAATTTGTTTAAGGATTAATTAGGATAATAACAAAATTGAAATTTATAATTAATAAAATACCCATATAATAATTTAATGCAGTGTCTAGCCATGAGAAAATTAGCCAAAATACCCTTTCTTTGAAATAGCTATTTTTTTACATATAAGATCAAAAATAAATTATATTAACT